GACGAACAACGCGTGACTAACCGATCAACAAGGGGGGAAGTGAAGGTGAGGTAAGGACGGTTACACTTGCCAACTGGTTACACAATTCTAAGAAGTGACATTTTTACAGCTTCTGCTGTTATCTACATGACAAACTGCAAACTTTGGTTAGTGTTGTCACATCACAGGACACACTCTCTCCTGGTAAGGAACATGTTTAAATAATCTACTCAGGCCAATGACAACATAACAAAATAGGTACTGAAAACACAGTAACATCCCTAAGTTCCTTTATTGGGTTACAGGTGGTATATTCATGGATATTCCTTTCATTCCTAGATGATATGGTGACCTTTAAGTCATTATTTACAACAATCTATTCATAGTACATAAACTTTCAGAGTTTGAGCAAAATGAATTTTGGTAGGCATTCCTTGTAGGGTCACAGAATAGGTGACTTACATCTGCATGCATCAAGAGGTACAGGAACAAACCCAGGTGAAGATGAATGATTCATTTTGACCAAACTATCCATAAAAGATGTTCACTAGCTCAGCTTAAAAAAAAATCATTTAACTAGTCCTTATTTACATGCCCTATGGAAGTAAAAATGTAAATAGGGCTACAGTTTACTTTGGTGATGTTTCAGAAGCTTGTAAACTAATAATAAAATTGCACAACCTGTTAACACATGCTTAAATTCTGTGATAAGGTTCGTATATAAGGTTAAATGAAATTTGCATACGAGCTCTCTTTGGTGTCATACTGTGTCAAAAAAATACTCAAAATACAGTTCAACATGTCCCATGATATTTAGTTTTAAGATAAATTTCACCATCCAAAGTACAAGCTATCAACTGATCAAATCATTTGTGCCTCATGCTTACAATACGTGTTGAAAGCATCCCCCTTCCATTTCATAGTATACGGCAGTGCATTGCACAGCAATCACTCAAACACACCTTAACATCCTGGTATCAACCAGTGTCACAGCTGCATGAAGTCTTGCCTTTGAGATCTTCAACAGTCCTGGGAAATGCATTAATGTGCTCCTTTGGGAGTCCCAAAAGGAAGAAATCGATCACTTCCAGCAAACAAAGAGCCCATGCAATCAGTCCACAATGTCCAATCCACCTGCCTGGTTATGCTGCATGCAACCACAGCTTAACATCTTCCCCATGGTGTACTGGAGCTCCAACATGCTAACCACCACTTCTGTCTCACCGAAATCTTCAAGCAGCCACAGTAAAGCATTTTCCAGAAATCATGATACCACTGAGCAGTCAGGTAGCAAGTAAGGGTCCATAACAATGTCCCTGACAATTCCAGCCCAAATGCTGATGCTGAAGCAGACTCGATACCTACATTCACAGACTGCATGAGAACTGCCTCATGGTCAGAGGTGACAGACTCGATACCTACATTCACAGACTGCAGGAGAATTATCTCGTGGTCAGAGGTGACTGCTGTGGATGCTGGACACATCATCATGTGTTAAAACATGCTTTTTTTCTGGCCACAAATATCATGTAAAAGAGCTCATCCTCAGTGTGTTACATCAGACACTCTCAAAATTGCATCCATAGAGGTCAATTGTCTGGAAACAGACATGCACTCCACAGGTAAGTTGTATGGATACACGTGATGATCATGAAGCAATTTCAGAAGTCTCAGGTGGGACAGTCTCAACTCATGTGCAATATTGCATAAGCTTCTCCACAGGTTTCATTGCACAGCTGCAACTGTGGCACCTTCACTTGCTTGTGCATGTATGGTCCGTGGGTAACTTGTCTTCACATATGCCATGAGCACTACATTTCCTGTCTAATGGAGGCACTGCTCCAATCACTGAAACATGTGCCTTGATAACACAGACCAGAATAATGTGTACTCCTATCCAGCACCACCACCTGCTCTATTACAGGTACCACGGGTTGAAAGCATACTGCAGTATTCATCACGTATGTATTCCATGATCATTCAATCACAAATGTCCCCTACTATCCAGTGTGTCTTGAGTACATCTAACAACGTGCTATGTCTTGTCATAACAACACTGCTGAGAAATATGTCATCCTGTTTGATATTTCTCAAAAACTAAGCACCTTAGGACAGGTTCTACAACATTCTTCAGTTGCAGTTTAACAAGGAATCGCACTATGGGGAGGTCGTGCACAATTTTAACTTTTTCCTGCATACACAGAGACTAACACATTTGTACCAGAGACTTTTGGCAACTGCTACACTCTTAAAGTTTGTGACACTAGTATGTTAACACAAATATTGTGTTTCTGGACATTATCCATCGTCCTGTTTTCATTTAAAACACAGCACATCAATGTGTTAACTCTCGCAAATGGTTTGCGCTATGCTTGGTTTATACACCATATCTTGGTTGGTGCTGGAATCTAGATGAAGCTCTATCGATTGGGCCCAACTGACTAGGATACACCTGAAGATGGAGGCAGAATACAGTCTTCGAAACATTATTTTAAGTAAAAACAGGATGATGGATAATGTCCAGAAACACAATATTTGCACTGTGCTACACCCTTGCTTGCAGGACAGGAACACTTGACGTGCATCCCATCTCGTTCGATTACTGATATAGGACGACAACTTCCAGTTGCCCCAAGCATTCAGGCCAGTACTGCATCCATTGTGTACCCTGCTATCACCGTGACCCTTCAAAAAAGCCCTGTCCTGAATACTACAGCCAGAACCTGTTTGATTGTGACCATACTAATATCTATTGGCTCCAACCATGCAGGGCCAAAGAACTTAATTCCATGCTCAGCCAGAACTGGGCACTGACACAATATGTGGCAAGAGGTCTCCTCCTCCAGTCCACATTTCCTGCACAGTGTTATCTGAAAGACTCATAAAATACAAGTCTTCTCACAGGAACCAAACTGGCAGACCCACAGCAGTAGCATCTTTTGGTGAGATGTACTTACATAGATTCTGTGTTTTAGCAGTACTAAGTAATTTAATACATGCTGCATTATATCATTTTTCAAAGTACAATAGACCACTGTAGGTTGCGGTGCAAGGGCCGATAAGGCCTACACCTCATACATTCATATCATTTTTCAAGAAATTGCATTCCCATGGAGAAAAGACAAAAATACTCAAGTTCAGTCCTGTATACAGCATTTCCCACATAGCAATGCTGCAGAGACTGGAAGATCAGAACACTACCGCTGGCCTTGTGACAGAAAAAGTGAGAAGGCTGCATGGGCCATAGTAATTCTGAGAGGAAAATCAATCTTGTTCAAGGCCACACAGGCACCTTATTAGTTTGATGTTTGGTACCATACAGACAATTTCCCACTATCACAGTATTCAAAGAAAGAGTATCCACTGTTATTTAACTTACATTAATCCTTTTCTTTCACATAATGGTCTCAAATCTAACAGCGGGACTCACATATACTTCAAGCATTATGCAACAGCTATTAATGAAAACTAAAACTCCATGGCCTGTAGTCTGCAAGAGAACTGCACCGACCAACAGAATTGTATAATACTTTTCAGTAGTTAAGAAAACTCATTTTTTAAATCCCCCAATTTGGTACTTATACAATTTGCTACATGTTTATCATTTTTACCAAAGCAAACTGTAGTTTATGATTAAATTATCAAGATTCATTCACCCTTGTAATAACTGACACATGAGTGCATCTGCTGCATATTCAAGTTTAATCCTGATGCCAACAAATGCAAAAGCTTGTGAGGCATCTAGTATGCCACTGGACAATGTACTACCATTACAGAGCATGAATAATACAAATACTCTTCCTGACTGTTTATCTCACTAGATGCTTCTAAGATGCAGGTAAATTACAGGTTATTATTAAAAATGTATCTCATAATGTACCTATAAATACAGATTACTGACACAGTAATAATAATTATATTGGTCAGTATCTAGAGCTGTATGCATACAACCGCTATGACACTCTGCATTGATGGAACAAAAGTCACTGAAGGGTTTTTCACAGAAATACTCTTTGGTCCATTACTCAAAATATCCACTACCTGATAGCAACTATACCTGTAACTCCTGATTATTAACAATGTAATTATTCTAAAAACTTCTGATTTGCTGCCCTTGAAGTATATGAAGGGCATATAACAAGAGACTGGTATATCATATGTTAGTACCTTATTATGTAGTTGACTGTACAATACATGGCAAACTACCATATGAGAGGGCTGCCAGTCACCACAACTTCAGGTGGAAAGAAATTCATTATTGTTTACATCAGGATTAACTTCACAGTGAATACATCAAATGCTTCTCACTCGTCCAATTACTTCATCACTTCAGAATCAAGTATTTATACTAATGGATACTCACCAGGTGGTAGTGACTGTTTCAACTTTTCTGCCTTCTCTTTGTCTGTGATGACAAGTGTATACAGAAACCTTGAGCAGCGAACTTTAAATTTCACATTTTCTGGATTCTTCTTAATCTTCACAGCTGCAATGGAGTTCAACATATACAAATCATTCTACCACTTAATTCTACTAAGTTAATGACAACGTTGTTACACTACAAAACTAGTCAAAACCTGAGATTCGAATATTTTCCTGGAAAGTAATCTACAGTGAAACTACACAATGCATATGGGATTTTGCACAACACACAGCAATGCAAAAAGTGCAACACCATAAATAATGACTGCAAAATTAGTAACCTACTCTAATCACAAGGCTCTCTGCAACAGGTTAAAAAGAACTCAGAACATAATATCAAAGTTACATAACAACCATAAACTAAAACCATATTGACTAGGCATGCAAAATTCATTACTATGTACTTACATTTTGCATCTTTTCTTCTTGCTTTTAGCAGAAAGTCCTTTATTTCTTTAATTTCACGTGGCTGTAAGGAAACAGGTGGGAATCAATATCAAATTAAGCACTTCCGGACAGAGCTAAAATTCACATTTAAAACATGCTATATTTCATACGACCAGTCAAGTCTTAAGCGACAGCATCCATGCTGCTTACCATTTTTATGCTTAATTGAAAGGTAACCTATGCGACGGAAAACTTCCTTCTGAAAATACAAATCACAATTTCATTAGCTAGCCAATAAGTATCGTTACCATTCAAGTACCATTTTTGATAACATAAGNTTTTCAGTACATATATATTTATAATATCAACAAACACCAACCAGCTCCAATTCACGGGCACGAGCTCCAGACCGCTCCAGACTGTAAGAACACCAGCCCAAAAATCACGGAACATCAACGATGACAGTCATAGACAATATCACCAACATAAATCGGTGCTCACCGTACTACAGCACGATATATGAAGCTCCAAAATATTAAACGGCAATTGCGGATTCATAATATTCAGAGGTATTACGGGAAACAGAGAAAAAGTAAACCACTGGATCGTAACGTAATTTGCTTTAGTTGTTGGTCCAAGTATAGTAATGTTCTCGTCGTAGATGTCCCTAGCCACACGTCCAAATTTACCTATGATTTTACATTATGAATTTTGATAACGCCAAAACACTGATTCTTCTGGACACAAAACGGCAGAGAATGTCTTTAAAATAGTTTCTTGATGAATTAATCCTAGTAACTAGTTAGTGATACATAATTATCCGGTACTTTCAATTCCAGAATATAACTGTTGAATATGAAACATTCCATCAAATCTTATTATGCAAAAAGATAGATTAACTGCTCGCGACATCTACTAACACTTTTATATGACTGATTTCCCTATTATGCTGTAGATGGAAGACAAATTGCATAATTCAAAGACATTGTGTCCACGGCCGAATTCGATTGCGGTGACGGGTTGATAAACGAGGAAACCAATTGTCGTGTAGCGTGTAGCATGTCACTATACCAGTTTAAAATGTACAAATATTGCATTGTCTTTGATCAACGTTCAAAATTAATTCTGTTTTTGTTCTTCCAGCTTAATGGCACTCAGCATACGAGAGCTGTGTGATGTTGAGTATAAATAACTTTATAAGTTGAATTATTTTTGTGTGTCTACAAAATTATTAGGAGCTACATAAGAAATTCACGAGAGATCGATCACAATCGATCCATCGGTCACTCTTATTGATATCCAAAATGACAGTTCGTCCGGTGGTTAATTGAGATCATGGAGATGATGGTGATCATGGTGATACGGTAAAGACACTCAAGGTTTCATCAGTGATGGTAGTTAAACAAGTAAGGTAACGAGTGCTTTTTGTCATAAATTTAAAATAGAACTCAGATCAGCACAAAAAATTATTGAACTGCTACAAGAACTGCTACACGCCCAGTCGTGCCGTAAGTACAGACCCTTGTTACTTCCACAGTTCGAAATTAAAAAAAGGGAACTGGGTTTTTGTGTTCATGAATCTCCCCTGGCACATCTGGCTAACCTGACTTAGGATTTTTCATGGTTTTTCACAGTACCACCAGGCAAATGTTGATTGGACTTAGTATCCCTAATCAGGTGACAAGCACCAAGACTTTTGAATACATTATTTACTAACCATCAACCTTTTGATACTATATAGTTTCCGCTACGAAGTGTGTTGTGAATTCATGAAAGGAAATGTGGTGCAGGAGCAGTTTTGAATGTTATTAATAATCGGACACAACTTTCAGCGCCAGAAGAGATACTGTCCAACATCAAGATTGAGCCCGAGGACAGCGAACTGGAGCTACAGATAGCCCTCAAGAAAGCATGGAGACTGGAGCTGCAGGAGGCTGTTACAGAATCAAAGAACAATGTAGAAAAGGTACATACATCACATCGGCGGATTTCCTTTTTAATCCATCTCACAACTGTTTGGCTGTAGTAGGGGTCACTTCCTCTTGTTCAGTCAAGGCCATCTTCCCCCTACCTGCCTCTCTGCTTTTCGCCCCTGAGACAAGAGAGGAGCAGCCCTATGGATAGGTGGTGGGAGGTGATGAAATTGTCCCTAGCTACAGAATCCTGCGCCATCTTTAGTTCCTACACAGTGTCTCCATATGTTCCAGTTATAAAATGTTGCACAGAACTCTGTAGTAAAGTTCATTATGATGTTTCCTCCTTGGTTACTGTAGAAAAACATTGTACTCTAGAGAAAGTATATTCTAATTTAACCTGCAGGCTATTAAATTGTTTCTCTCACAGTCTGTTGTGGTGGGCCTCAAACAAGTAAATCATATCGCCACATTTAAGTAATATCATCATCCTTTCTTACTGTGCTACCAACTGAAAGGTCATGGGTTCAATTCCCAGTTAGGTAATTGGATTTTTAGATTGACCGAATCCTTCCAGTCACACTATGACCCTGGGGTCAACTCAGCCTTTAACAGAAATGAGTATCAGGAATATTCTTGGAGGGTAAAGGGCGGCCGGCATGTAAGGCTGACAACCTCACCACCATCTGTGTGCTTATTGTCGAGAAAGTATGGGAGTCTTGACGTCTCACAGCCCTATAGGCTTCCACGACCTGTTACAGGGAGAGCTCTACATTCTTTTATACTATCATCCTTTCTCGTATTTTGGTTATTCAGACCTGTTATGGTCTCCTGTCAAATAGGCACCAGGGGCTGTTTCCCCGGGTATGGGAGTGGCATGGAGCTGGCCACTGACCTCCATCTAGAGCATAACTAATTAAGCATAGGGACAGCTTTGCATTTGTGGATACTACAAAACAGAATGCTATATAGCTACATAATTTAACTGTTTGTGATTTGTGATGTTTGTAGGTGGCAGAGTCAGTACTGGAGAGAAACTCAGAAGGAAACATGGAAGGTGGTTCCAGTGTGCTGAATGCTACAGCAGAATTCTGCTGTACGTTGGGTGACATCCCCATTTATGGTCTGGCTGACAACTGATGAGGATGCTCAGGAACTGCTTGTGAGTCCAACATAACCGTCCGCAGATAAATGTACACTTGGCAAGGCACTTTGATTTAGCATGTATCAACAGTCCATTGCCCGTCTACGGTTAGTTACTGCAGCTGCAACAGAATTGGAATATATTTTAATTACAGTTGAATTCCATGATAATGGATAAATAAATTACTGAACTGGAAACATCCAACAGAAATCCTAGAAACGAAAGCACTCGTTATACAATAAGAATGTGACAGTTGAGATGGTAGAACCTTTTTCTTCTTCTTCTTCTTCTTGACAAATGGTACCTTCTGGATTAAAATGCTGTATAATGTGATAAGGTCCATAAGCATTTTGAAGGAATGTCAGTAGACTTACAGGATGTGACTTCCCAGAAGATAGTGACTTTCTTAATCTCCTCTACAAGAATCTCAAATCCAGTCTTTTTTTCCCATCTTTTATTTCTTTTTTCTCCCTGTGCCATGTGCATGATGCAAGGGTAGAAGAGATGCTACTAGGAATTATATGTGAAATTGAAATAGGGATGAATAAATAGCTCAGATCATGACTAAATGGAAAACCAATAGTTATTGTAAATTTATTCATTGCGAAGTTAATTGAATGTTAATTGTCACAGTATTCTCACTGCAAACTCAGAATTAGTTTGGAAGATTGAGGCGACATGTGTCTCCAAAATGTCTGTTGACTTTCAACAGATTACACGGTGTTGTAACCCAGATGACAGAGCTCTTCAAAACCACTGCTCTCAGATGCTCAAATCCTACACAATAGAGTCAGTACTTTACAGTGCAGTAATTTTTTATTCAGTGATTGTTGGGTAAGCAGTTCAGATTTCACTCTATCTCAAGGCAGTTTTGAATTGGTAAAATTTTGACTGCGCAACAAATATAAATCACTCCATCCAATGTGACCTGTAAGTTTTTTACTACATGAAAACTTAACACCCTTACATGTTTCGGTCTCTGTGGACCATCTTCAGAGGGCAAACATCACTACAAACAGGAAACCACCATCACATAAGTTGTTTAGACGTAAAGTACGTACACTTATATGCTACAATACGTAGTATTGTAGTGAGAACAGCACAGCAGCCATGAGCAAAGCCTGGACGATATAGAGAACCTCCACATCAAGATAGCCAGGTGGCACAATATCTGCCCCATATAAGAGGGACGATGGGAGGACAAACACGAGCCTGCATGGTTTACAAATTTTAATTATTGACAATCCAAAAAATTTTTAATTAGCATCAAGAAATTTTATACAATTTTATAAAAAACTTTACATTCCCAGGAAACTGCTGTGTTTGTGAAATGTTCTATTTTCTGTACTATGTATTGTAGCATATAAGTGTACGTACTTTATGTCTAAACAACTTATGTGATGGTGGTTTTCCTATTTGTAGTGATGTTTGCCCTCTGAAGATGGTCCACAGAGACCGAAACATGTAAGGGTGTTAAGTTTTCATGTAGTAAAAAACTTACAGGTAACATTGGACAGAGTGATTTATATTTGTAATTGTTAGTGTGACGGACCAGAATGAAACAAATCAAACTTTTGACTGCGCATTGTGTTCTGCTAATCTCGTACAAAATTTACATTACAGGACTCTGACAAGGAAATGATTTAAGAGAAGAAACGTCAGAAAGAAGAAGACAAACGTGAAGCTTGGAATGAAGTTGAGATTGGTGAGTCACTAGCAGATTCTTTATGTACAACCTAGGCCTATTCAAATTAAGAGATATTGACACTTTAGTATTGGTTTTAATTGTGCGTTTATATTTTAAGTATTTCATAAATTGTGTACCATATTTAATCATATACTGCAGTTTTGTTAGGGGTTTTAGTAGAAACACATTAATCATTACTGTTTAATATTAGTAGCGGTAGGATAGTTGGTTGAAGCACTATGTTACAAGTTGGGGAAGGTCGTGGGTTCAAATCCTGATGAGGTCATTCATTTTTTTCACTTGACCTAATACTTCCAGCTGCACTATGGTCCTGGGGTCTACTCAGCCTCCTAACAGAAATGAGTACCAGGAATTTTCCTTGGGGTAAAGTGCGGCCGGTGCATAAGGCTGAATACCTCACAGCCATCGATGAGCTGATTGTCTAGAAAATGTGGGAGCCTTAATGTCTCACAACCCTATGGGGCTCCACAGTCTGTTACAGCGAAAGCTTGGCACATAAGGCGACAACCTCACCGCCATCTATGAGCCGATTGTCTAGAAAATGTGGGAGCCTTAATGTCTCACAACCCTATGTGTCTCCACAGTCTGTTACAGGGAAAGCTTGGCACATAAGGCGACAACCTCACCGCCATCTGTGAGCCGATTGTCTAGAAAATGTGGGTGCCTTAACGTCTCACAACCCTGTTGGCCTCCACAGTCTGTTACAGGGAAAGCTTGGCACATAAGGCAACAACCTCACCACCATCTGTGAGCCGATTGTCTAGAAAATGTGGGAGCCTTAATGTCTCACAACCCTATGCGCCTCCACAGTCTGTTACAGGGAAACCTTGGCACATAAGGCGACAACCTCACCGCCATCTGTGAGGCCATTATCTAGAAAATGTGGGAACCTTAATGTCTCACAACCCTATGGGCCTCCACAGTCTGTTACAGGGAAAGCTTGGCACATAAGGCAACAACCTCACCGCCATCTGTGAGCCGATTGTCTAGAAAATATGGGATCCTCAACATCTCACAACCCTATGGACCTCCACGGTCTGTAATAGGGATAGCTTTATTGTATAGATTTTGTGTAAACCGATGTTTTGGAGGAATGTATTGCCTCCATCATCAGGGTATAATAATCCAAGGAGGAAGCAGTTTTTCAGTGGAAACAGATAGGATTATGGGACTGCCGTGTTTATCATCCATGTGTGCAATCCTCATGATAATGTGTGATGTCATCATGCCACTCCCATGTTCTTTCAGTTGTCTACCATCGGCCATATTAACATGGTGACTGAGTTGGGAGCAACACTAGAGACACTTGAAGTAGGTCCTTAAGAAAAGTTCTTGGGGTAAGCTGTTATACCCATTCAGAAGGTTCTGAGTTCAATCCCCACCTGCATCTGTGTACAGAATTTTCTGCTCACAGATGATGCCTTCACATCTACCAGAGTTCGAGCTTCAGGAATTCAAAGGATATACCCCACCCACCCCCACCCCATTGGGTTAGAGGCCAAGTTAAAATATAGGGTCCCTCTGCTGATCAGCACTATCATGATTACCCTATCGTGGGTGGTGAGATTGTTGTCTTCTGCCTCAGATGCTTTCAGTAGAACTTGTTGTTTTGACTTCATTTTCTCCCATTCTCTATGTGAGCTTGTAACTAGCCAACCAATTATGACATTTGGTGTGTGAATTGCATGAATTAGGAAGAAACATGCCTCAAAATTATTACTATCCCATTGCACTTTTATTAAAATATTTTGTGTTAATCATTTCAGTCTCTACGACTTTAATGTGCTGTAGCAGCCCATTTCTGGTTATTGCATGTATTAGTAAGTTGTGTTGGAAAATGGACTGTTACATATTTTTATTATTTCACAAATTACAGATTGAACTATATATGGATCATACCCTTCTTTCTGGCTGAAACTTCAGGATGGAAGGATTTTACGTGTTACTAGGAAACATGGCCACATTCTGTAAGATCCTAAAATACAGTGACTTTAATGCTGTCTCTATTTCTAATTTCAGATACCTGTCTCATGAATTTCATGGAAAGGGACCTGTCAGAAATAAAGTGGAGAAACGAATGAAGGAAACTGAACTGGAGGGAGTGAGTATCAGTCCAGATGTGGTCATGAGCTCTTATTTCTAATACCAGCCAGAAGGTCATGGGTTCAAATCCCACTGAAGTAACTGGATTTTTTTCAGTTGACCTAATCCTTCCAGCTGCACTATGGCCCTGGGGTCAACTGAGCCTCTAATAGAAATGAGTACCAGGAATATTCTTGGGGGTAAAGGTCGACCGGCGCATAGAGCTGACACTCTTGCCGTCATCTTGAGCCGATTCTCTTTAAAATGTGGGAACCTCAACATCTCACAACCCTATGGCCCTCCATGGCTTGTCACAGGGATACATTTACTTTATTTTAGTATATTGTAGCACCCTGCTGCACTTCATTTTGTACCAAATTGTTTCACAGTCTCATGTGCAGCACGTCTTTCTGTAAAACTTTCTAAAAGTTATCCACATGTTTCAACCTATAAAGTCATCATCAGGTGTTTTTTTTTTAATTATAAATGAGGAAATTGCTGTGCTTCCATATTGTGGTTGTTGGTCATCACTGTGAGGTCCCTTCTATGCACATGTATATACAGAGTGGCGGGTTGTTCTGCCTGTTGTGTTATGCTACATGTCCCTCTTGCACTGCATAACAACAGGCAGAACAACCCACCACTTCCTATATACCAGCGCATAGAAGGGACCGCATAGTGATAACCAACAACCACAATATGGAAGCGCAGCAGTTTCCTCATTTATAATTAAAAAAAAAACACCTGATGATGACCTTATAGGTCGAAACATGTACTGAATAACTTCTAGAAAGTTCTATAGAAAGACATGCTGCACATGAGACTGTGAAACCATCTGATTCTATTTCTAAATGGTACTCCATAAGGAAGCAAATTTTAGTTATTGTTACATGTCCACGATTCCACATAGCAGATATATATCCATCCGCACTTTTTGTGCATTCATTTTCTGCTGACTACAAACATACACAGTAGCTTCAGTCCTGGGACAGAGGCGAATACTGCAACTTTGTGACAAGTCTGATGGAGCCTGCTCATAAAACACACAGCATATTTGTTCAGTTGTCATTAGACTAGTAGACATAGACACAGACCATGGGTTGGAAATTGGGAGAAATTGATGACTTCAAGCAACAGACTAACTTAAAGTTTGGGCGGCTGTTAGGATAATCAGTGACAGGAGCTGCAGATATTACAGAATGTTTAAGGGCAAATAGACTGTGCCCCATCTGAAGGAGA